TTGTCGTAATAGTTACTTTTCTAACCTCATCAAAATTTACGAAGCCTATTAAAATTGATTTTCTTTAACATTTCAACTTGAGAATTCATTGTTTTAGTTCCACTGTTAAAAGTTCTGTCATCCATATATGGGTGACGTGGCAGTCAAAGTGTTAAGACAGGGCCTGCTAGAAAGCTTTACTAATGAGTCCACTAGCAGTCTACGAATTTTTTGAGTTCCTAATCGCAGCAAAGGAGCGCCACATATCTTTCAATTTTTATATACAGACATTTTATGACACGTTTCTGAGCTTGTAGAAGTGTTTTTGTAACTCTAATATGTGTCTGGATATTTTTTAAACACCGAACTCAAAACATCGTTTTACGTAGAGTAGCTAAAATGTGACTTACATCACTATGGCTCTCAGCCTGCCATGTATCACGGAGTAATTTCAAATATTGTGGCAATTTTTCTTTCGACAAAGGTTGTAGTGTAGTAGGTCGTTGAATTCGTCTCGACGTCGCCTACAACACTAAGAAGTTAAAAATACCTAGTTCCATTTAAAGATATAACAGTAACCTTAATTTTCGATCAAGTCAATTTCTTCTTAAATTTAAACTGCAATATCTTGTCAGTTAAATACTGATTAATTTCGATACGAAACATTTTCTTGTTAGATCATCGAAAGGGACTAGTTCGTGTCTCACCCCGTATACGAGATATCTCCTAACCCGTACGCAAAGTGTCAAGATCCCGTTCTTTAATAGCGACTCGTGGTTTCAATTTTCAAACTTCTCCCTCCGCCCTGGCCGATGACATTGACGAATATTCGAAGCTTCGGGACGGAGATCACCGATTAATGCCAAGCAACGCCGACCGAAAATCCGTCGATGCCCTGCCACTCTAATTAAACGGTCAATTGACCGTGCTCCATCCCGGCAGCCAATTAACTACCCTTGATACCCATCCTGGACAAAGGACGAGAGTGGATCGCTCGCTGATGTCCGGAATCCGTCGTGATCTTCCGGCCACGAGGCGCCAAGTAGGAACAGAGTCCTCGAATTCCGAGGAAATTCTGTAAACCGCAGGCGATAGGCTCTGATGCCCGCAAACGTTCCATCGACCGTGAACCAAATCGCCTTGGCAAAGATTTACGCCGACCATGTTTCCACCCCCCGCCCCAGGTTCTCGTTTGTATTAACGATGAGAATCTCACGTGTGCTCTTCGCGCGCGTATAGGCCAGCCGCGTGGGTCAGTGGTTCCCGTTAGGGTAGTAAGCCGAGGATTACTATACTTGGCAGGGCCGGTTCTCGTACGAGGCATGTGCGCAAACAACTTCCCTACACCCCTAAGCTCATTGTTTTCGACTCCAACTTTTCCATCTTTTCACAATAATCGAGACGTACTTACATTGACTCTACCATGATACAATCTTCCTTTCACCCAAACAAATATGGCGAACGTTTTCATGGTTGTCGAAGAGTTGTTGGATGATTCATTTATTGATGAAACTTCTGTCACCATCTACTGGATTGGATCCAGAAAGTGTTGATCCAAAAAGGAGTGAAAGAAGTGTGTATCGAGCTGAGCGATCACACATGTTAACCCCTTTCCGTGGTATTTAGCTCGCGCGGTAAACAGACCAGACTAAACTGCTTTGTAACAGAGATTATAAGAATCGTGACCGACTCTTGCGGCGTACCGATAGTCACTCAAATCAATAAAACTCAATCACGATCGTGATTTGCTGTCCGCGAGCCTGGCTCGTCATGTTTACGTTTGGGCCGACCTTCCGTTCGCGAGTCTGGCTCGTGATATTCGTGTTTGGGCCAAAATCTTCATCACAAGGAGTAAACTGTGTATTTTCCTTTATATCTTAAGAGTTGGAATATTTACGTTTGTTAATCTACAAAATAAATATACTGTGCAGTGAAGCGAAGTTTTCCTTTAAGAGTAATCACGTAATTAATAACGTGAATTTCGTAGGAACGATTGGTTACACGCTCCAATCGCATTACGCTCTAACGAAGCCACTAGAACGCCAGAAATCGATGCTCTTGTTGCATAATCAATCATCCTTCGATCTTATTATAGCAAACGCGGTAGATTAGGATCTCCGCAACAGCGTTAACGTCCGTGAATCCCGTGATTGAACGTAATATGATATTTCAGAGTAATGCGAACACGCGTGGCTCTGGTTCGCTGGCATTGTGTAATCTCGATCCGAATTCTCGATCGTGTAATTAACGACGGCGTTAAAATATTTGCGAGACGAAACGACTACGTGTTTCATTTATATTTCAGCAAACCCCCCCTTTTCGATTCGCGAGCTTCCGAACGTCGTTTTTCTGATTCGCTGCGCAACCGTTTCGCGACGCTCGATCGATTACGTCTAATTAAACGACGCAATTCGTAATCGCGCCATCGACAGAACGCGCTCTCGATTTAAAGTTTTAAAGGTAGTGGCGCGTGAACGCTTAATCGTTCGAGAATATGGAAGGAAAATTACCGTTGGGAGACCGGAAAATTGTTGCTGCCGACGAGCCCGTTGCATTCAGAGCACAGAACGAAGTGCCTGTTACGGGAGAAATTAGGAACAAAATAAGAAAAAAGGAAAAGAAAAGAAACGGGAAACGGGAAAACGGGGAGACGAAGGAATTTGCTAGTTATTGACGCGCGCGGACCGACGTAGGGCAGTTTCTCTTCCGCGAGCCGTTCGTATTTCCGCCATTAGGGAATCAGGGCTGTGTAATCAGAGAGGAAATCGATAAAAAAGTAATTTCAGAAAATGCAGTACCTGTTGGCGGTTCTTGATGAAAGTCAAGACGGTGCGCGTTCGTGCCGTTGGCCGTAAAGCGCTTCTAAGACGAGCGCTGCTCGCCAACTGCAAATAGCCAATAGTTTCGACCCGAGCTTCCGCGTCGTTAACGACTTTAATCGCTTTCTGTATCCGAGCCCCCGGAAACGTACAGACACACTTCAACCCCGTAAACGTAAAAATCTTGGAAATCCATTTCGTTTTCCGACAGCCTTTTCAGAAATCCACTCGAATCTTCTTCTTTCGCGATATCGAATCACACGCGCTTCTAATTAACTATCGAACGTTTAGAATTTCCAGACGAAACGGATCCGTGCTCTTGGAAACTACGAGAAACTACGACTGGGATATTGGGAAGTTGTTCAAGGAATGTATACATATATAGCAACCGAGGGGTCGGTCGAGCGCTTGTGAGAGCGCGATCCCTCTGGTGGCGAGCTTGAGAGGCGACTCCACAGTACAATAAATACTGCTTTGATGGTTGAAAGATTTTAGTATATTTTTGAATAGGATTTCGAATGTGTTTGGCGATAAGAAATGTTAATATCATGCCCCATCGTAGATATTCCCAATAATCCTGAGATCCTTTTGAATTTAGAGTTGAAAAGGCTGCGATTTAATATCACGGTGAGAATTCGTGGTAAACGTTTTAATATGTAGATTTTAATACTATTCTCGATGGTTCGCTCTCTGGAAAAGCTTATTCGTTACGAGGTTACCAAGCCCTTAGATTATTCTGAGAAATTCAACGCAAGTTCTGCGTATTAACGTTGTCTGACTATAGCGCGATATTACTACTTGCTCCGAGTGTTTATAAGCATTAAAATTGACACGGTATTATTTGTTTCACCTAATATCATTAGTTCCAGTTCTAACTGATTAAAAAATATTCCATCTCAAACTCCACGAATTTTCTCAAAAACGAAGCGTCATACGAACAAACTCCATTCTATGTACTTTTTCTATTCCCATTTTCACGTAGAACGACGATATTACCCATTCTACCACTAATTACTGGTAATTTGCAAATTTTTTAAAATTGACATTCACTCGAGCAAAAGTTAACGAGTTATAAAACCCTGACTAATAGCAAGATAACTTTTTCTGGAAATCGTGATTCGTAAGTCTGAATTTCCCCGAGATCCTTTCGAGTTTAGAGTTGAAAAGGTGATTTAATATCACCGGCGGTGCTAAACCGCGGTAATCGTCTACGCACGCAGCTCGAAATCGTATGAAATAGATTTTGGCAACGCCAAGGGACTTCTTGTAAGCACAGTCTTTACACGTGTGCGATACCATCTGCTCGCAACCCGTTCTTTACTTCTACGGCGAACGTGCAACATCTTTATCTTCGAATTCCACGATCGCGAATCCTTTCTCTTCGAAATTCAATATTTTTATCAACTTCCTATTGTGTCTATAATAACTGATATTTTTATACGAAATTTTTACAAAATGTAGCTCGAGAAATAATACTTTCGATACCATTAAATTAGAAAAAGTTACAGAGGTGCAATTCTTGTAAATTGCCCTCTTAATAGCCCACGAATAATTTTGTGGCGTCGCCTCCCATGCTCGCCACCAGAGGGGTCGCGCTCTCACAAGCGCTCGACCGATTCCTCGGTTGCTATACATACATTCCTCGAACGACTTCCCAATATTCCAATATCACCCCCTCCTTTCCTTTTTTGTGAGATTCTCACGAGTTCATAACCGTAGTAAAGCAGCGCACCAATTTCCATCGAAGTCCTTTCTCCGATATCCATTTCAAACGGACAATAGATAATTGTTTTGAGAAAGAAATATTTAATTAAAACGAATGAATTGTTTCGAATCACGGGTTGTTCGAATAAGTCAAAATATCCCATCGAACAATCGAGTTAGCCGCCACGGTGGAATAAAAAGGCGTCCAGGTCTGCGGTCAGAGCGCTAAAGAGCTTGGTAATTAATGAAGACCTTTCGCCGGCACTGAGTCCGGTAACGCAGAAAAACCTATAATCCGACAGTCCTCCGCGAGACGTTGATTTACGACGACCCTGGTCTCATTATTCTTTCGCGAGCGCCGATACTATCCTCTGGGCAGCATAGAATCGCCCGGGAATCCGTTCATAAATTGACGATTGTTCGCCACGCCGCGAAACTGAAGACCTCACCCCCCTCTACCTACCGTGAAACTGAGAGAGAGTTTTATTTCTGTTTCAGGAGAACGTACGGAAGCCATGCAACGTGACGCCGGATACGTCTCTTCCGGATGCGACGTCAGCCACTGGCCCGGGCTTCTACTTCCGTTCACGTGGTTTCTAATACTCGCTCGAAACAGCCAAACTTTCCTGCAATAGCGCCACACCCCGACAGTATTTCACGCGTGCTTCTCTGTTCTCTCATTCCGGGGGAGAAACGGTGGGAGGGAGGCCGAGGAAGCGCCTAGAAATTCGACCAAGGACGACTAGATTCTAAGCTAGATACGTAGGAATTATCGACGAGAGTGCAACGACTGGCGTCGAAACTATGGATCTTTTGCTTTCAGAACTTTCGAAAGAGCCTGTTCTTTAGCAATTTCTTCCGAAACGTGTTGTCGAAGACTTTTTCGAGAAATCTAACCGAGAGTGGAAGAAAAGATGACAGTAATTTAGTCATTGAATACGCAAATATCCTTCCTTTTCCTGTACCATCCTGTTAATCATCGTTCCAGTTGAACACAATAGTTTGGTGACTGTTAGGTACGAATCATCAGCATTTCTTCCAACTAAAACATAAAATTAATATAATATTATTTTATTATTCTGCCTCTGTCATTTAATAATTGACATTCTTGGTGCACTGATATTATTGGAGCATCCGGATCACAAGTTACCCAGTATTAGTTAACGCTTTAAGAATATGTTTTTAAAGAACCGATTTCTTGCAAGTTCTGAACCAGAAGATCCCTTAGTCTAAGGTCCCTTTGGAAAGATGCATTTTCATAAAAATGCACAACTTGAAGTACAAATTTAAACTTTTGTTTAATTCGAACAGTGTTTCTCTAACTAGGACTTATGAAAGAAGGGAGTTACATAGATATTCCTGGTGGTTTCCCGTCAAATTACGGAAGGAATAAGGAGAAATAAAGGTTCGGTAGAAACACTTTGTCTCAAAGGTATAAACGTTGAACGCGACGTGAAACAGATAATAAATTTTCCATTACTGAATATGAGAGATCGTTTTCATCTCGTCTGCATATTCGCATAAAACGTCAGGGTAATAAATCTATATTGTTTCGAGACGTTTCTGTGTGAGAACCAATGCTCTTAACGATGTCACTAATAAATCAAAATGTTCTTGCGCGTCTACGTAAACTTTACATCGATGTGGCGTAGAATGCTACGAATATTCCTGTGAATTTTGCTCAATTTCTACCAATTACAGTAACTCGTGGAAACTACAGGGTTGAAAATTAAAACTAATCTTCGTTCACAAGCGTTTCGAATACACTGTATTTAGATACCGACGAAGGGAAATAGAAAAACGTCGAGCGGAGAGAAATTATTAACGAGGAACGCGATTCCAGAAGGGCGTAAAATGGCGATCGCGAAGGGGCAATTTGTTGGAAAAGTGGTCGCGATAAGGTTCACCGCGTCCTCGTCGACGGCGAAATGTATTTCTTACATAAATAATTCAGTAAGTGGCGATGCTGCGCTCGATCTCAATCCATCGGAACGTCCTTTTCAATTCGTCGTTGCGATTCACGACGGTTGCTTTGACCGTGCCTCTTGAACCGAGTAGAATTAAAGTGGCCGCGCCGGCGTCAATGAATGCGGAGATAATTTGATATCCAGCGTCTTAGCTCGCGCGTTGCGTCCTGCTCGCTAAGGAACGACGGCATTAATGAAATCTTTAATTCATAACTTCGTTCGCGGGGACACGTCGAAACGGGCGCGGTCCCGCGTGGGTCGTAGCAGGGTTGTAAATAATTATGCGATACCTACTAATAACGCACAAATTTTCGTCGAATTTAGAATAGTATTTATTGTTACGATACCTTAAGTAGATTTCGGAACGCACGGAATCAGGTACGATTGCACCAGCGTTTTCCAATTTATATGAGATTAGTAATTAGACGAACGAAATAAAAGGGATTAAATAAATTTTCCACATTATTAGGGTGTACAACTTTTTTAGTATTGTGATCCTTAAGGTTGTTATTTTTGGTTATTAACACATTTACGACGGGACATTTTTATTCAAACTTTCCTATACGGGTAATATATTTAACACTAGATTTACGGAAGCCGTCAATTTGATGGATGTTTGATTCCATATTTAAAATTGCAGAACGCGTAAATATTATTTTTTAACAATTTCTGTTGAATTTTATTGATGCTATGGCATGAATGCATATTCTAATTAAAAAAAAATCGTATTGTAAGGTAATCGTCAACATGAAAGGTATCAATAAATATATGTGCGATCAATGCCCGTAAATCGTGTTAAAAACACTAATAAATATTTGTTACCATTATAAATGATACAGTTATCGGAGAAATGACTAGAAAAACCACGCACTTGTCGTGGATCGAGAATTCTCGTTTCTCGTCGGTAATGTAATGGAGGCTTCGTTAAAAAGTTATAGAAACATTTCCGGCCGCACAGTATATTTTCGGTAACGAATTTTTTTTCTCGAAAGTACCTGGGATTTCGGGGGTATGTATATTCACCAAAACTGATTGTAATTGACCCCCGCAACAAAAAATAATTTTTTCAGAACGATTAGAAATTTTTTAATTTTGTTGTGAAGTTTCACATCTACTCGAATTTTTTTCTCGAAAGTACGTGGGATTTCGGGGGTATGTATATTCACCAAAACTGATTGTAATTGACCCCCGCAACAAAAAATAATTTTTTCAGAACGATTAGAAATTTTTTAATTTTGTTGTGAAGTTTCACATCTACTCGAATTTTTTTCTCGAAAGTACGTGGGATTTCGGGGGTATGTATATTCACCAAAACTGATTGTAATTGACCCCCGCAACAAAAAATAATTTTTTCAGAACGATTAGAAATTTTTTAATTTTGTTGTGAAGTTTCACATCTACTCGAATTTTTTTCTCGAAAGTACGTGGGATTTCGGGGGTATGTATATTCACCAAAACTGATTGTAATTGACCCCCGCAACAAAAAATAATTTTTTCAGAACGATTAGAAATTTTTTAATTTTGTTGTGAAGTTTCACATCTACTCGAATTTTTTTCTCGAAAGTACGTAGGATTTCGGGGGTATGTTTATTGACCAAAAATGGTTGTAATCGACCCCCGGAAATGAAAATAATTTTTTCAGAATTATTTGAAAATTTTCTTTTTCGTCGAAAATTTTCAGCAGCCCCTGTCGATTTTTCGTAAAAATTCGTTTTTCATTTTTAATAACTTTGTTTGACGCCCTACAGAAAAGTTGGATAATACTTTTTTTGTAGGTACCTATGAGTTCTATTTCAGAAAAAAGTTTCATTGAAATATTCTCACTATTGTAGGAGTTATGGTCGTTTGAAAATTGCACCATTTTTATGGGGGTTTTCTAACTTTACGGGGTTAAGGTACAACTTATCGAATATTCTTAGAATTTCTACATATTCTATAGCAAAATACGCGTTGTTTGCTTTTTGAAGAATTAAAATCGTCCAATCCGTTCGGGAGTTATTATATTCTAAAGATACGCATGAAATTTCAGGGAAACATATCAATGTATGGTCAGACATTATATTTTCGGTCGGGAATTTTTTTCTCGAAAATGCTTAGGATTTCTGGGGTATATGTAATGACCAAGAATTATTGTAATCGACCCTTGTAACCGAAAATAATTTTTTTAGGACGATTTGAAATTGTTGAAAGAACAAAATTTTTTCATTTAAGGTTTCGTTGTCGAGAAAATCAATTGTGAATTGACTTCAATACAAAATTGCACCAATATCATTAGTGTCAACATGATGGTACTGTGTTACTTCTGTTTGTGGATTTAAAGTAGATGTAAATGAAAATAAGATATGTAATTCACTTATTAAACTAACTTAATTCATACAAAAAATTGTTAAAAATTGCCCATTGTGCCCACAAATACAACTAAATTATATTTATATAAACTAATGGATTCTAATCTGTATCTTTAATTCTTCAAATGCCAAATGATTCTCGCTTTTAATTGAGGAGTGCACAAAATATTCTTCTTATACTTGTTTGTTTTAACATGACCCCATAGATACAAATCAAGGAGTGTTAAATATGGGGATCATGATTAGTCAAAATTGAAGATAATAACATACTAAGACAACAAATAAAATTGTGATACGCACGTGCTCAGTGAATATTCACAATTGATTTTCTGGACAATGGAACCTCAAATGAAATAATTTTATTCTTTATTTTCAATTCGTTTTTTCATGTAGAATCACCTCCTCTCCGAGACACCCTGTATAAATTGAAAGTGCGCAGAGATGCGTGTGACTTGAACAACCACGTACAAGCGTAGATCACGCGGTTGGCTGTGTAAATTGAAATCAGTGTTGACGGGAACGCGAGTAGAAAGAACGATATTCGAATCGAGATCCGACTAAATTCAAGTTTGTGACCCTAAGCGAGGGGGAAGAGTGAATCGAGGCGACTCGGAGGTTGAGGAATCGTTTTACAGTTCGCAGACTTTCAGCATTCTTGAATACCCCGATGTGTTACGAATTACAAATAAGACGGCACAGTCGAGCAGTTTTCCCGCTACGTGGTCAAAATTCAAACAATCGACCAACACTCTCGACACACAATTAACAAACGTCGAACGAAGCTGTTAATACGTTCTCGGCTCTTAATATTTCCCCGAAATTTTGATTCCAGTAATTTTTCCACAAACAAACGGTGGACTCCATAGTAAGAATTTCGTAGTTACACATTTTAGTCGCGTTTTGGGGGATATTGGTCCACCGTGCGGCGCAACGATTTGCAAAGGGAGGTGACGAACAGATTAAACGTTCGATCGTTCCAGTGAATCGCATGCGAGTAGAAAAAAGGGGTTGAAACGAACGTATCGCGAACCTCGACACGTGCGTGTTGAACGTTACGTAACTCTGTCCGTTTGGGTTTTACAGGCTACGTCACCCTTTTCACGGGCTGACAGTTACGCGGGTCAGCTTAACGGTATCCCGTGAGATTTGCACGTTTGTTCGAAATCGAACGTTAATAAAATTTCGTTTGGTCCGAGACGTCGCGAGACGAAGAATACTCTTCGAAACGGGTGAAATGTTTTTTTATCGTCGTCCTCGTTCTCGAGTAAGTTTGCCCGGTGCTGTGAACCTGTTAAAAATTCGCCCGGTCACGCGCGAAAT